TATCAGAACATATACTTCATTCGCAATGCTAAAAGACTTATTCTATTCTTTCTAAAGCCAATCAAGTGACTTGGAAATAAACGAATTATAGTGTCACAAATCTACTTTTCAATCTGAATTCATCAAAAATATAATTACATGTAATTAAAGTATGTACTACGTTCATAGTATTTTCATGTAAAAATGCATCAATTTTTTCTTTTTTTGTACGGTACGTATATATTTTGTAAACAACAAAGATCTGTAGAGATAAATGTGATATTGGATGATTGGAAATCAAAATACGAACAGTAACAATGCCCTACTCGCAACTCATAAATATCTGGCCAGTGAGAAGAAGCAAAAGGGTGCAGTTCGTCATGAGTCATATATCAAACAGCACAACACTAGAAGTCGTCAGACGGAAAAGCGAGGAATTCGATCGTGGATAACAGGAATGGAGGAATAGACGATGACAGAGGAATGACTGAAACGGATCCATCGATGAAGATTCCTGAGGAGAATACGCCCGAGAAGAAGAAATCGTGAAAGAGAAAAGGAAAAGTTGAGTTACTCATCCTCGCAGCCAAAGCCACGCCCTACGACATCATTGAAGACTTGGTCACTATGAAGACTAATATCACCATCGCTCAGCTAATCGAAATGTCGTCCGTCCAGAGAATCAAGATGTCGAAAGGAATGTGATGTCTGATAATGAAGAAATCAATGCGGAGGACGGGAATGGCACTACAAAAAGTTAGGATGACGTCAGTCTGGGTGTGAAGCATATATTGAAAAGACTCCCATCAACTTGATCATCAACACTGGTGTCTCAGGATGCATAGTAATCCAAGATTTTCTGAAAAAGAATAATATTAAAATTCAACGATCATCGAATATTCGAATGAACAATATTAATGGTGAATCTAAGTAACCTTTAGGAGCTATCGACAATTTCTCCATTACCGTAGACAAAATCGTAATTTCAGCCAACGTGGATGTGACGGAGGCCAAGACGTTTAGCGTATTAGTTGGAATGGACTGGCTTGGAAAGACGAACGCCAATATCAATCTGTGAAAAGGTGTAATGACGTTCGAATGGGATGGCCAAAAAGGCGAGATTCTGGTAAAATTCATCCATAATATAGAAAACGTGCAGAGCAACAAATCAGAAGAAGAATTTAGTGAGGAAGAGTCATCAAGCGAAGATGAGTATGAAGAACAAGAAGTAAACAAAAGGATGTACCTGATGTGGACAAGAAATTGGGATGAAATGATTACAATTAAGCTGAAACAGAAAAGGGTAGAACCTGACGACAAAAGTATTGAAGTAACCCTTGAGGAAAAGTGGACACTGGTCAGGATAATACCACGAGATATCGGTAACAACTACTTCGGAGACGTATCATCGCAAGTAGTCAGAGCAACAAGAAAAATTAAGGAAGTGCAGGCTTATAAAGAAGGATGAAAGTACAATGACAAAAATATACCTGGAATGATTATAATGAGCTGACGAGGAAATTCCAGCGAGAGCGATCGGAGAACCAACCATGGGCTTTGAATTGAAGAGGTCCATGTAAGATGTGTTGGTGTGAAAAAAAGCTGCAAAACTGGAATCACCAATGCAAATGATGTAAAGATGACCTAGCGGATTGGGTGGCGATAGAATGGCATATTCCATACCGCATCCAATACAAGACTGATAAGAACTGGGTTGCTGAATTCGAACGAAAAATATTCTTGGCTAATCAAACGACTGCAAGATTTCGAAATTACGAAGAGGCTAAATGACACATTCGTCCGAAGAGTCAAATCCAACAATGCCAACAATGTCATTAATATTGTTATAGTTTATTTTGTTAGTTATATATTATTGAATAATTTTTATATTAATTTTTATTGGACATTTTGTATAGTATATTTTATTGGACAATATTTATTTTTATTTATTTTTATTTTTATTGGTTAGTTATTTTT